GAAATTCTAGGAATAGTTCTTTGTTAGAAATCACAAAGAAAATTAGACCATTTCGTTTCTGTTTTTTTACATGGCAGCAAGTAGTAGACACAGTGCTCTAAATAAGTCAGAAGTTATCGAATATTTATTCAATTTAGGTTCTGATGAAACTGAATTTTCAGACAGCAATGATGATTACATACCAGATCAAAATGTAAGTGACGACAGTGGTGATTTTGATCCTGAATTGCCATCTACGAGTGGATATAGAGGCAGATCATGCGGCAGTACTCGAAGTAATACTGCTAAACGTCCATGATTTAGTAGTGACAACGGATGGATTCGTACAAATTTCAGACGTCCTCAAGTGAACAGTTTTATGAGAACATCAGGAATACGATGTAATCTACGGAGCGATGCTACACTGTTCGACTGTTTCAATATATTCTTTGATGACGAACTTGTCGACAAGATTGTTTCAGAAACAAACAGGTATGGTGATAGTTTGCTAAACTGTGATGATTTATGAGAGAATAGTCAGATAAAAAACTGGAAACCAATGACAAATCCAGAAATTAGAGAATTTCTAGGATTTATAATGGTCACAAGTATAATTAAAAAACTGCACCTAAGCATGTATTTTACAATTGAAGATCTTTTTTTTGACACCCTTTTTTTCAAGTGCAATGTTGAGCAACCGCTTTCAACTTTTATTGTCCTGTCTGCATTTTACGAACAATAATCAAGCTTCAGGTGGTGATGATCAACTACATAAATTATGCAGTGTTATTGATCATTTATGCCACAAGTTCAAAAATGCATACCTCCAGAGGAAAATATCTGTGTAGACGAAAGTCTTATGCTATTGAAAGGGAGATTGGGATTTAGGCAATACATACCGAACAAACATGCTCGTTTTGGAGTGAAAAGCTTCGAAATTTGTGAGTCACAAACAGAATATGTTTGGGACTTTGTAGTTTATACCAGAGCTACTACTGAATATGGAAATTTTGAAGGTAGCAAGGAGAGAAGGTTGTGCTAACCTTATTAGAACCATTGTTTGATAAATACCACAAGGTTTTTTTAGATAGGTTTTTCACCTCACCGACCTTAGTGAAAATGCTTCTAGACAAACAAACCTATGTATGTGGAACAGTAAATAAAAATCAGATAGGAATGCCACGTAATTTTCCTGATCATAAATTGAAAGAAGGGGAATTTATCACCTGTCAAAAAGATAAATTGTCTGTGTTCTGCTGGAAAGACAAAAGGGATATGGCAATTCTAAGTATGATGAGTGACAACAAATTCTCTGATTTGGGTAAACGTGACAGATCTGGGGAAGTAATAATGAAGCCAAATTGTATTTTGGATTATAATGCAATATGGGTGGTATTGATCTCTGTGATGGAGTAATACACAATTATCCATGCATGAGAAAAACGGTAAAATGATACAAAAAAGTGTTTTTTCATATGATGGATATTATATTATATAATGCTTGTATTTTATATCAAAAACATACGAAAAAACAAATATCATTTCTAGATTTTCATATGTCTGTTATCAGAGAAATGATAGAGAAGTATCACACAAGCAGACATCTAGCCTGCCGCGGTTGACCATCACATGAAAATCTGAACGGCATTTTCCTAGTTTTATACCACCTACAGGAAAAAAAAAGCATTCATCCAGAGTATGTAAAGTATGTTTGGTTAACAAAAAACGTGCAGAATCACGTTATCAATGTGTACAATGTAATGTTCTACTATGTGTTGTACCTTGTTTTGAGATATATCACACTAAAATTAACTTTTAAAATAAAATTTTTTGTTTTTAAAATTCCCTAATATGTCTATTTTGTGTGTAAGAAATATAAAGTAATTTGGAATAATACAATAGCCACAATTATTATTTTTCTAAAACATGTGATTGCGTTAGGCTTAACATTGAAAAAAATTCAACGTAAAGCGACACGTGACGGAGAAAATATTCAACATAGAATAGGTTAAGCGTCATACAGACCAAATTCAATGGCGTTTACTAGATAAGGAGACTATAGCTGAACCGACAAATGAAGAGTCTTCTCTCAACAACAAGTCTGACATGGAAGAGCCAGCTCCAGATGTGGCAGAAAAAAGTTTAGATGCATCTACCAGCAATCCCAGAGAGGAACATCAGATATGGATAAGACAACCCCCAAAATATTGGAAAGATTATGTATCTTTCTAGGAGGGAAGGAGTTGTCATGTCATGTCTCATCATAACTTGTAAAAGGCACATCAAGCTCAAGCTTCCAAGGGTTTGGTTGCCCAATATAATCTGAGAAACCGTGGGCACCTGCCTTCTTTTGGCCCGGTTCTGTACATATGAATATATATAGCAAATAAACATGTAATGTGTTTTTTAAAAACTTGTATCTATTTCCTTCCTCAGACACAATTCAGTAAGATTCATTAAGATTCAGTAAGATTTAAGATCTTACATAATGATTCTGTATACTGATACCAACACTAGTGATGTCATTGTTTTAAATCAAATATATATTTTGTCATTTGTATATTTTTTTGTATAAACAAACAGTTAAAATTTCTGTAGAACAGAAGAAAGGCTACATTAAAAGAGCACCTTTATTTGTTCTTTTTTATATATCTCAGGTGCGCAATAAGATTACATATAATCAATAGATTTACAACAACCTTTAAGTGACCAGTAAAATATTTAATTGAAATACAAACATTTTTGACCGTATTTTTCGGTCTTCTTCAGGTAAAATTTCCTGAGTAGCAATCAAGCTGCCTGCATTTTGGAAGAATAACCCCAATCTCTGGTTCACTCAACTCAAAGCCCATTACAACAATTCGACCTACCCAAGCAATGATTCGATCAGGTACACAAGGACATTGTGGGACCACTTCCTCCATCATAAGGATTCGTGTACCTCCTTACATGTGTTGACTAATTCACACATTGGCCGGAGGCCACACCAATCCTGGATATAACAGCAGAAACAGTAGTAAAAACGTTTGTATCAACATGGGTAGCTTGATTTGGAATTTCTTCCATCAATAATTATAAAACAGCAACTGCACACCTGGTTGTGTAAAAATAAATAAGACCTACTTGAACCTTTAACCGATGTGTATAGAAATTAATCTTTCCAATCCTGAAGAAGAGCCCAGAAGGGGTTAAGAAAACGTTCGTATTGGAAAGATTAATTTCTATACACATCGGTTAAAGGTTCAAGTAGGTCTTATTTATTTCTTCCATCATAACAATCGACCATGGGTGACAATTTCAGTCCCAGCTCTTCATGTCACTCACTGCCCTTCTTGGAATTAAACAAATCTGCACAACCCCCTATCACCCATCATCAAACAGACTGGTAGAGTGATTCCATCGCACACTTAAACAAGCCCTATGATGCAGTGAACCCAACTGTTGGACAGAAAGCCTCCCTGCAGTCCTTCTTGACTCCGTTCCACATTTAAACTCAACGTCAGAGGCACTTGCTCGAAAATGGTATATGGAACATAGCTACGTTTACCAGCCGACTTCATACAGTCTATAAATAACAACTCTGTTGAGCCACCCATCTTCCTTCAGCATCTCCACAATATCACGAACAATTTTTTGCCAGTCCAAAAGTCTGTGTATGACAAATTACCACCTTTTTACACCCATCAATAATGAATGCTCCCACGTATTTGTTAGAAATGACTTGGTCAAAAAACCCCTACAAACTCCCTAAGATGGCCAAGTCCTAACACAATCCAATAAACATTTCACTGTATTAATAAAAAACAAAGATGCTCTCATGGATCAGCATTCATTGATATAACTAGAAACGATACATCCAAGCCATTGGTTGACAATACAAGTCCTACACCCCGACACAAGCATCAACCATCACGACCTGGTCAGGACATCACATTTGCTTCAACCTCCGGTGCCTCTGATTCCTATATCTTTGTCACTGGGGGAGCACTGTGGCACCCATCAGCAATGTGCCGATTCAGGGTGAGAGAGGGCGCAAGAAAAAACAGAAAAGAGAGAACTTTGAACCAGACACACTTTTGGACCAACAGCTACCGAAAACGGACGTCTCAACGAGCAACCAAAGCAAACAAAACAGACCGGACCTTCGATCAATACCAAACCATAAAAAATCACTGTACATATATTTAAATAAAAATTATATAGAAAATCTGACTGGACATTTTTCCATCATCACCAAATCATTATCAATTAGTGACCGAACCCCAAAAGTTCATATATAATACTCACATAGAAATATTCATCCTGTCTTATCACGATGCAATTCTTTATTGTTTTTTTTAACATTTCAGCTAAAGTAGTTTTTCCTCCACAAGTTGCCCTGAAAAATGTTTAACGTTATTACTTTTGTTTTATTTCATTCTAATTAATGTTTAATTAAAATCAGCATGAAGTTAATTCACCAATTCTTAATTATCAATCATCTTTTAAAATCAATTTACAAAAATATTTGTCTAATTCATATTTTACGAATAAATATTAAGAATCATCAGACTTTTTTGAACAAATGCTGCCCGAACACGATCACATGCCAATTAAAACATAAAATATCGATCATATAAATGGCATCTCACATTGGAAGTAAGAAAAATCCAATTTAGCAGAAAAACTTTTCAAATAATTAAAAAAAAAAAAAAAATTGTACGAACCCTCCAATGCCCACCAATTTCCACTTCCCCATGCTCGATTTCAAGCATCTAACCGCGAACGAAAGACGACCACTTCCGGTCACGTGAAATAATAACACGTGCGGAAGTCGTAATAAGAAATTCGTCATCGAACTACGCATTACTTATTTTAAAAATAAAATAAAATATAAAATAAATACATCCACATTCGTTTCTCTAACTACACCGTTATTTTTGGATTTTCGATTTTTATTAAAGATTTATATACGAATACGGTAAAGATTTTATAAATTTTTATTTAATTACTTCACATTTAACGTATTAATAAAAACTAAACGGGCTTTAAGTAAGATAATTACGCTATTAAGTTTTAAACAAACCAAACCGATAAAATAACAACAAAATTAGTTAGCTAATCGTCCGTTAGAGGGTGTAAGTGAAAAAGAAAGAAGAAAGATGAAATCATAACAAACACAGGTAAATTTTTTTGTTTTTGCCGTACGCGCAAAGCGTTTTATTAAATGTTTAACTTATGGAAATTAATTACGGTTAGAGGTGGCGTGTCGTAACCATGGTTTACGTCCATTATATATATATATTGGCAGTGATCCGCCCTACTTTTAACAGTAGTCAGCTGGATCAGATTAGATGACGAGATGCCGTTTATGGGCAATTTTCATTTTATATCGTTTTGGCTTCGATAATATCGATGAGAGGAAATTTATGCAATTTTTAATTAAATATCGTAAAGATCTTCGAATCCAAAACGTATTATAAGCTTATTTAAATTAATACCATTATCTGGTTGACGTCATTCGAGGGAGTTTCTGCTTTTTTCCTTCCTACTTATGCGAATTATAAATATTATATCCAATGAATCATCCTCTTATCTGTGGGAAGTTTTGATACATTTTTTATTAACTACAATTTTTCTAATCATTACAAATTCTACACATATTTAATATATCACAATTAAAAACATATTTATATAATTTTATTTACAAAATATTAAGAAGAAAAAAATAAAGTTTACTGTTTACTTTGGTAATTCGTATTTAACCAGTATTTAGATATTACATAATTAATATTCTGTACTTGAATTTTTATTTTTTCTGCATTTGGTGTTTAAAGATGGAGTGATGTTTTGAAAATTGTCGTTAAAAACAATATGCGTGTTTTTGATGGCTGGACGAAGGATTTATCTGACCAAAAATACTATAAATGCTAGTTTTCCATTTATTCTTTTAAAGTTACCGGTTGTGCTTTGCTATCATTTTATCTGTTTTATTTATTGCCAATAATATATTTTAACTATTTATCCGTACTTTTATTAAAGTGTATTGAATAAACAATTTTGGTATATGTTATCTTTGGTTATTTACAAATAAAAATCTTAAATTCAATTATTAAAAATATCATATTGCATTAAATTTAATACTTAGAATTTTTTATGTTTATAGGCACACATTTAGTTTAGTATTTTTACATGGGTAATCCCTAAAGGTCTCCTATTTTTTAGAAATACGAAGAAACATTTATTTTTAATAATGTTTACATCATTTTAGAGCTTGAACATTTATCTATTTTTCTGCATAATCGTCATTCCGCTCAATGCATTTTTGTAGACATGTGGCAGTTTTTGTATGCCATGTTGTACTGGCTCGCCACCAAGTCGTGGGACCTACCTTCCGATATTGCAATTTTTCTGTTAAAATCCTATGAATGGTGCTTCAGGAAACCCCGGGAACCAAAATGCAGAGGTCGTCCATAGTGATCCGCCAATCTTCACACATGGTTTGCTTGACCTTTGTGACTGTCTTGTCGGAAATTGACGGTCTCCCGTTTATTTCGTTGTTGTGAATTTCAGTACGACTAGCTGCAAACTCCCTACACCACTTGGTTTCTTGGAAAACTATTTAACTAATATTAAATGAGAAAATAACTTGGCAAAATAATTCTTTAGAGTTAATTGAATTGTAAATTAAGAAAAATTTTGGTAAGTTTGAGTAAAAAAGAATATTAATTGTCTAATAAAGAAAAAAGATTTGATACATTCAAAAGTTTTGAATTCACGTAAGAGAGAATCATTTTAATATTTGCATCATCGAATGTTTAGATAGAATATGTGTATAGAATTTACAATTTGATAAGTCATTGTAATTTGATTGTTACAAAAAATAAATCTCAAAACAATAAGTTAGTTATATATATAAATTTCTATTATATAATGCTTTCTATAGATGAAAGAAATTAAATATATCTAGATAATTAAAAATTTTTTGGTGGTGGTTTTTTTTATTGAAATAGTCTGTTAGACAAGATGTACATTTTCCAAGAACAAGTAACATTTGTGCATGTTTCCTTCATACTGATTATTTTATGTATGCTGTTCTTTTGACAGTTTTTCTAGAATTTTGTGCATGTATGCTTTCATTGTTAACAGTGTGCTGCTGCTAATTTATATTCAATACAAATGTAGATAGTTAAGCTTTGTTATTTTATTCTTTATTTTCTAATTATATGGAAGAAAAACAAATTAAAAATTCAATATATTAAATAAATGATTGATATTTATAGGGATGAATATTTAAAGTATTTATGATAGTAATTTGACAGTTATTTTTAATTAATTAATTTAAAATTTTTTTATTACTATTATTATTTATTTAAAAAAATTAGTCATTAAAAGAGTTAAACAAAATTTATAGATTTAAATAATTTTTATTTTAATTATTATTGTAGAAATAAGAGGAGAAATCAATTTTATAAATGTTCTTTGAACCATCTTGGAACCCTATCTAGTTCATTGATAATTTTATAATTGTTATAGTGTTGATAAAGACACTATTTTTGTTAAATTAGTTTTTGATTTATTAGGCAAATCAAAAGATTGAACAAAGTGAGATGAAAAGAGAACTGTAATTTAATATAACAGTGGATATGGGAAGCATGAAGAGTGAATTATAAAATGCAAGACCTGTGAATCCAAAAACAATTAAATTTTTGATAACTGATAAAAAATTGCTTGAAAATTTTTTTTAACATAGATTTAATTCTAAATTATTCAAAAGGTGATAACAGATTATTGATTTTTTTAAAAATGATATATTCTATTGACACTTAAAATAAATTTTAGTAGATGCTAGCCGGAGGGGATAGAAATAACACTACCATGATTGGGCAGTCGACTTCTGAGCACCAGATACAGAACCAAACCACTCGAGGTGGACTCAGAATATATAAAATAGTGGTATTAGGAGATGGTGGAGTTGGAAAGAGTGGTGAGAAGAAAATTTTAATTCTTTTTTACAATATGGTTTTAATAGTTTCAAAAATTTAAGTTCTTAAATTTCTTTTTTTCATCAAATACTAAGAAATTAACTGAAAATTTAATGTTAAATTTAAAATTTCTTTGTATTTGAATGCTATAAATATCTCTAGTTACAGATTTAAAGTTGTATAATTAATAGTAGTCTGTATTATGCAAAAATAAATTTGAAATATGACTAAGCATCAGTCTGAGATAAATTAAACTTTTATTTTGAACCTTGAACTGTTTGTATTGCATTTGAAGTTTGAAACTATTTTGATTACTAGCAAATAAACTTTACTCTAAATATATTTTTTAGTATGTAAATTATTTATTCTTAGTCTTTGATTTATCAAAATTTAAGAAATGATTAAAAAAAGTCATTTAGTGAAAAAAAGATTACTTTTATTTCTAATGTTATTTTTAATGAGATTTATTAGTCTTTTCGAAAACATCTTTTTTGAATTCAATTAATGTGTGACAAATTATTGAAATTCTTAATTTAAAATTTTTGAAAAACATTTTTACTGAACTATTCACACACAAAGAAAAAATATAAAAGCTAAATATTAAATAAATTTATTTTAGCATATTTAAAATAGTATAAATTTCATTTTAACCTAAAATAACAAATTCTTTAAAATTGAGACTTTATAAAAATATTTCTTTGTAAGTATGCAATTGTTTTATTATTGCATTACAGCTCTTACTTTGCAATTTGTTACTCATAGTTTCTTGGAATATCATGATCCAACTATAGGCAAGTGAATTATATTTTATTAATGTATATTTTATAAAAATTAATTTTATCTTCAATAATAGTATCTTATATGTTCAAGATATGATAAGATGCAGTGAATTTTTATTTAAAATATAATAAAGGACAAAATATTTGTATTGAATGTAGAGGATGCCTATCAGCATCAGGCAGTTATTGATGGAGAGGCAGCTCTCTTGGATATATTAGATACGGCTGGTCAGGTATAAATATTATTTATTCTTTGTTATAACTTTTAATCCCACTAGAAAAATAATGGCATATAAATTTATTTTTTAAAGAATTTTTCTTTCCTGTTATATAATAAAACACTTTGGTTTCTAATGAAATATTCTGATGTCAGGTTGAATTTACTGCTATGAGAGATCAATATATGCGTGGAGGAGAAGGTTTCATTATCTGCTATTCGATCACTGACCGTAGGAGTTTCGAAGAGGCAGCCGAATATAAAAAGCAGATAGAAAGAGTCAGGCATTCTGACAGTATACCCATTGTTTTAGTTGGAAACAAGTATGATTTGGAACCAATGAGAAAAGTAAACAAAAATAAAATGTCTTAATAGATAATTTAAAAATTTTATGTGGTGGTATTTAAAAATAGTTTAACTGATAAATATTTAGGTTTCAACAGAAGAAGGTCAAGCACTTTCAAGACAGTTGAACTGTCCCTTTTATGAGACATCTGCTGCTCTTCGGCATTTTGTGGATGATGTTTTTCATGCTTTGGTAAGAGAAATTCGGAAGAAGGAAAAAGAACGAGTTTTGGCTGCAGAAAAACTCAAGCGCAGAGGAAGTAGATGGAGATGGCTGCGCTCCATACTTAGATTTATTTTCAGACGTTTGGACAAATAATTGATTTTATTATTTATGTACAGACTTATCATCTCCATCTTCAATTGATGTTTAACATATTAGCATTGATTCAACGTCTCATTTCCTCATTTCGATACTTTAAAAAGTTTGAAATTAAGGGCCACATACTGCTAGGTCACATGGATCAAAGATTATTACAGTGATTAAAGCCTTTGATATCCTAATGCTTGTAGCAAAGCTGTGTTCAAGCATTTTGAAATTTTATCTTGTGAAGAATATTGTACAAATTATGAAATGATGCAAGAATAACAATAGAACTTATTTATCATAAAAAAGCTTCTTGTCTCGAAAAATTGTTCAAAATAATATCTCAAATACAATAACAGAGATAACAGAGACTTATCCACCTCTACTGGTAACATTAAAGTTGCACTTCTACCATCAGAATGCAACTTTATTACTGGTATGCATTTTGGTACACAAGACCCTCATTAGCCATAGGTAAAAAAATATGTAGGTATCTACAACAAAATATATTATGTTTACAATTAAAATAATACAAAAAGTGTAAAGATTTCATTACAAAATAAATTTCTTGAAACAAATTTGTAGAGAAACTGATAACAATTACAATCTACAATTTAAAACATACCTATTAAAGGTACTACCGTGTTTCCCCGAAAATAAGACCTAGCAGAGATTTTGCTGAATTGCGAAATATAAGACCTCCCCCTGAAAGTAAGACCTAGCGAAGTTTTTTTTAGTCGTAATGGTCATCGACAGATGGTTGAAAGTGGCCGTTGGCTTTTTGAAAGTACAGCCACTGATTGGTCAGCAGACAATTACGCCACACGGCATGATTTGCATAAGACTATGGCTTGGGAATCACAGATTTGCATAACGTTACGGCTGGTGATGGCTAATTGGTCGGCCGGGAATCACGCCACATGACATTTGCATAGTGCTACGGTTCAGTAAGCACTAATTGGTCATCCAGTCCGATGTTGACACTATAAAAAGGCGACAGTTCGACACACTGGATATACGTCACTCTCGTCTAAGTTCGACTTGGGAATTTTTTTGTTCAATAATAAATGTGAATTCTTCTTCCTGGAAAAATAAGACATTCCTTGAAAATAAGACCTAGTGCGTTTTTTAGAGCAAAAATTAATATAAGACACTGTCTTATTTTCGGGGAAACACGGTATATTGTACTGTAAGGTATTACAGTAGAGCATCGATTATCTGAATATCAATCAACCGAAACATCAGTTAACCGAAAGTGTTCCAGTTAGCAAATTTAAATTTCTACTAGTGCTATGGCACTGCAATATTTGGCTATGTCTTGGGCTACTCCAATATTATTTTTGTTGGTGTGTGTGTGTTTTAGCTGGCAGCACTGGTGTGACCATGAGTGGGTACTTAAGGACATGCAAGGATTTGAACAAATTTCAACATGGGATAGGTTAATATATTTTTCGTACATAATTGGTTATCCGAACAACCTCAGTCCCAAATTGTTTCGGATAATCAATGATCTACTGTATTAACAATGTAGATAACAATATTGTATTTGAAATAGAAGAAGAAAAGAATAATAAATAACTGTATTTGGATGTAATAACTAACTAGAACTGACCATAGAATATATATATATATTGCTTTCTTTAATAGGGATATTAAAGAAAGCAATATATTTAAAGTAATAAATTATACTACAGGCCTACCATTGTATATAAAAAGAAACACATTTAATATATATGTAAGTAAAATTATAAATAGAACAACCAGATTAGATGACCAGAAAACACATTTTTAGTACATTTTCTATTTCTATCTATTTGATAATTACCCAAAATGAGTATTAGATAACTGGTTAAAAACTTTTTCTGTTAAATTTAATATAATATAATATAATATGAAATATGCAAGTGTGTACAAGGTATTTTTGATGAAATTAAAAAATTGATGAAACTTTATATTATTATAGTAAAACCAGGCTTAAAAATGGCAATAGGCTTCATGTTAACTAAAATTAAACAATCTGCAGATACAATTGATACTTTACAAAAAACTGAAGTAGTCTATACTTTTAATTGTAATTGTGACCCTTGTTATACTTATATAGAGAAATCAGAAGAACTTTGGCTACTAGATTATCAGAACACATAATCAATTAAATATGGTTATGTAAACTTGGCAGTGGCTGTGCACTGCAATGAGTATGGTTGCAAAATAAATAAAATATCAATTAAATTTAAAAAAAAATGAAAATTAATTAATAGACAGACAATATTACGAACATTTAAGAATACTAGATGTTGATGAAAAATATAAAATAAATAATAATGAAGGAAGAGTAAGATGTAAATTTTGGTTGTCATTTTTACCCAATTGGGGGAGAGGTAACAATAATCATACTACACTGTAAGTTGAATTGTAATCACAACCACTATTGTCAAATGTTTTCTTTTAAACTGTTATTATGTAATTAAAATGTAATAGGATTTAAATTATATTAATTTAGGCCTGTTCATAATGTAATCCTTATAGTAGTCTGCAGTGTGGGTGGAAATAAATCTTGAACAGGTCAGTTTGTAAACTAGTATTATATGTACAGTGGGTAATCAGTTAACGAACAGTTCAGACTGCGAAAAAATTGGATAACAAACACTTTTGCAAAAGATTTTTAATGTTCAGACAACAAACACCTCACATAACAAATACAGGAAGAAGCAATGTAAAACAGTCAATACTGAGTGGTCTTCCCTTGTCTCCACGTGATAATTCAAAACCTTCCAGAGCTCAGGAGATGTCAACATCAACGTTCAACCTGATACAGATCGGATAGTATTCCTCTGAACTTTGAAACTCTCCCTTGTAATTCCAGCCTTTTGTTTACCTTTCTGATAAAAATTTTTTTATAGTCTTCATGGGACTGTTGGGTGGGCACTCATTTTGTGTAAGTTTTTATTTTTGAAAGGTGCGAGTTTAATTGCCAAGGTAGAGAGTGGGCAGAAGATGTCTGATGTTGCTAAGCAGTATGGCTTGAACAGGTCTACAGTAGGCACAATCTTAGTTAAGAAAGATATAATCAACAAGACACAAGCAGGTAAAGAAGTAATGAAAATCACATCTGAAAAATAAAGAACATTGAAGAGCTCATAATAAAACCTGAAACTGATCTGATGACAAAAATTCCAAGAAGCTCAGTGAGATGTGCTTTCTTCTGAAAAAGAGGAAGATGAAAGAGGACCAATGCCGACATCTGCTATTAAAGATCTTTTCAAGAAGTGGGAGGATGTCAGAACAATGGTCATCCAAATGGTATCCTAAATAGATTCAGGTTAATAGGCTTAGGGATCTCTACGATGACAATGCTATTAATTAATTCTGAAAAATCNTTTATTTTTTCTGCATTTGGTGTTTAAAGATGGAGTGATGTTTTGAAAATTGTCGTTAAAAACAATATGCGTGTTTTTGATGGCTGGACGAAGGATTTATCTGACCAAAAATACTATAAATGCTAGTTTTCCATTTATTCTTTTAAAGTTACCGGTTGTGCTTTGCTATCATTTTATCTGTTTTATTTATTGCCAATAATATATTTTAACTATTTATCCGTACTTTTATTAAAGTGTATTGAATAAACAATTTTGGTATATGTTATCTTTGGTTATTTACAAATAAAAATCTTAAATTCAATTATTAAAAATATTATATTGCATTAAATTTAATACTTAGAATTTTTTATGTTTATAGGCACACATTTAGTTTAGTATTTTTACATGGGTAATCCCTAAAGGTCTCCTATTTTTTAGAAATACGAAGAAACATTTATTTTTAATAATGTTTACATCATTTTAGAGCTTGAACATTTATCTATTTTTCTGCATAATCGTCATTCCGCTCAATGCATTTTTGTAGACATGTGGCAGTTTTTGTATGCCATGTTGTACTGGCTCGCCACCAAGTCGTGGGACCTACCTTCCGATATTGCAATTTTTCTGTTAAAATCCTATGAATGGTGCTTCAGGAAACCCCGGGAACCAAAATGCAGAGGTCGTCCATAGTAATCCGCCAATCTTCACACATGGTTTGCTTGACCTTTGTGACTGTCTTGTCGGAAATTGACGGTCTCCCGTTTATTTCGTTGTTGTGAATTTCAGTACGACTAGCTGCAAACTCCCTACACCACTTGGTTTCTTGGAAAACTATTTAACTAATATTAAATGAGAAAATAACTTGGCAAAATAATTCTTTAGAGTTAATTGAATTGTAAATTAAGAAAAATTTTGGTAAGTTTGAGTAAAAAAGAATATTAATTGTCTAATAAAGAAAAAAGATTTGATACATTCAAAAGTTTTGAATTCACGTAAGAGAGAATCATTTTAATATTTGCATCATCGAATGTTTAGATAGAATATGTCTATAGAATTTACAATTTGATAAGTCATTGTAATTTGATTGTTACAAAAAATAAATCTCAAAACAATAAGTTAGTTATATATATAAATTTCTAATATATAATGCTTTCTATAGATGAAAGAAATTAAATATATCTAGATAATTAAAAATTTTTTGGTGGTGGTTTTTTTTATTGAAATAGTCTGTTAGACAAGATGTACATTTTCCAAGAACAAGTAACATTTGTGCATGTTTCCTTCATACTGATTATTTTATGTATGCTGTTCTTTTGACAGTTTTTCTAGAATTTTGTGCATGTATGCTTTCATTGTTAACAGTGTGCTGCTGCTAATTTATATTCAATACAAATGTAGATAGTTAAGCTTTGTTATTTTATTCTTTATTTTCTAATTATATGGAAGAAAAACAAATTAAAAATTCAATATATTAAATAAATGATTGATATTTATAGGGATGAATATTTAAAGTATTTATGATAGTAATTTGACAGTTATTTTTAATTAATTAATTTAAAATTTTTTTATTACTATTATTATTTATTTAAAAAAATTAGTCATTAAAAGAGTTAAACAAAATTTATAGATTTAAATAATTTTTATTTTAATTATTATTGTAGAAATAAGAGGAGAAATCAATTTTATAAATGTTCTTTGAACCATCTTGGAACCCTATCTAGTTCATTGATAATTTTATAATTGTTATAGTGTTGATAAAGACACTATTTTTGTTAAATTAGTTTTTGATTTATTAGGCAAATCAAAAGATTGAACAAAGTGAGATGAAAAGAGAACTGTAATTTAATATAACAGTGGATATGGGAAGCATGAAGAGTGAATTATAAAATGCAAGACCTGTGAATCCAAAAACAATTAAATTTTTGATAACTGATAAAAAATTGCTTGAAAATTTTTTTTAACATAGATTTAATTCTAAATTATTCAAAAGGTGATAACAGATTATTGATTTTTTTAAAAATGATATATTCTATTGACACTTAAAATAAATTTTAGTAGATGCTAGCCGGAGGGGATAGAAATAACACTACCATGATTGGGCAGTCGACTTCTGAGCACCAGATACAGAACCAAACCACTCGAGGTGGGCTCAGAATATATAAAATAGTGGTATTAGGAGATGGTGGAGTTGGAAAGAGTGGTGAGAAGAAAATTTTAATTCTTTTTTACAATATGGTTTTAATAGTTTCAAAAATTTAAGTTCTTAAATTTCTTTTTTTCATCAAATACTAAGAAATTAACTGAAAATTTAATGTTAAATTTAAAATTTCTTTGTATTTGAATGCTATAAATATCTCTAGTT